TTTCGGACACGCCTACTGAAAATACGTCACTACCATAGAGGAATTTTGCGGCTACTCCTGACCTGCCGCAAACTCTTAACAGCGACTGTAAACAAGATGCTGAAGTGAAGTGATTTTGCTCAGACGTTTAAGAAATCGGAGAAATGCTGATCGAATTCCTTGGCATTTAAGAGACAGTCGTAATGTAATGCTTTTGAAATGTCGGAGCGTGAATTCATCAGTTGATTCAGATTAAATCGGTTTGCTTCAATGAATTGAAACCTTTTCTGAAGGCAACTGCCAATGGATATTCTCTGCAAAAGCAGGTTTGTTTTTACTTCAGATTATGAAAACTGAAATACTTCTGGAAATGTTTCCGAATCAAAGACTATGCTTAAATGACCTATTTGAGAATATTATATATTTTTATACGTAAACACACAAATTTTTAATGTTATTGTATCAGGATTCTTTCTTTTTCATCCCTTTTTTTTTTTCGTAGTAATGATCGAAATCGTTAATTACTGCGAATTTTGGAATGCAGTAATAATATCACCATTAATTTATTGTTTTAATTACTCTAAAACGTAATCTCGGAGAAATTGTTTTTCTAACAGAAATTATGCATATGCCTGTCTTTGAGATATATATATATATATGTATATTTGGGATTAGTTTTTTGGAATATTATATATTTTTTCATGGTTTTAGATACGTGCATTTAATTTACATATGCTCTCAGAATTTCAGTGATATAGTAAATTAGTTTGCAGCAATAATTAATCTTTGATATGTATGCAATTAAAATTTCATAATTTAAATTAACTTTATATGAATAGAGAATATTTGTTAAATTCAAATTTCATTCTTTGCAGCAATGGCGCATGAGAATTATTATTTAAATTTAACTTTACTTTTTATTCTTATGAAACAATATATATATATATTCTGTAACTGTAGGGGGAAAAAGCATGAATTTTTCTCAGCTGTTTAAACAGTTCCCATGTGTAAAATAGTATTTCATCCCCCAAAATATTAGTTAATTTTTCTCCTAATGTATAATGTCTTGCCTGTTCGTACAGTGTGATTAATGTCATGGTAATTTTGGATACTTTCTATAGATCTTGCATAATAACTACACATGTAAGTTATATACACATTCGTAAATCTCTTATGATATGAAAAGTTATTGCAGACTTTCACATAACTATTAATAACTTGATATTCTCGATAACAGGTGACTTACCTTACTTCCGTAGACCATGATCAGAATTAAATAAACTTATAAGGTTATCATACTAAATTACACGAAAAGCAGCATGACATAAATAAATACAAAGAAATTAAATGTATTTACTGTACTAATAGATTATTATATTACATGACATTGGTTTTGCCCATGTATAATGGGAATGAAAGCCAGTTTTCCATAGAAAGTCCTCTACAGAGGCATCTGTTTTCTTAAGCAGATTGCTTTTACCACATTTCAGTGACCTTGATTTAAGTATGAAACTGGATAATATTTTCTTTCTGCATGAAATGTGTTAACTGAGTTTTAGAAATATAAGCCATCTTGCAGTTACTGTGATAATACTAATTTTTGGTACCTCCATATTATACCATCAACCATGAAAGTTGTGCTAATTACTGCTGTGGAATTCTGAGCCAGACATTTGTATACAGCAGTTACAACAAACCATACATCAGTCTCTCTGCAGAATACATGAAATAACCCTGCTGTGTGAAAGTATTGGACCCACTTCGTGAAAAAACATTCGTTCATTACTACTGTTTTATTTGCGGTCAAATTTTACCAAAAGCTCATTTTAGAATGCTATGAATACAAGTTGTCCACAGGTAATTGTTCCAATTTCTTACTGTTTTGTTCGCTATTTCCACATACAGTAGATGTTAATTCTTTCGACCAGCTGTAAAAGAACTGGAGTGCAATCACAAATGTGATTCTACCTAGCTTACCAAGAATTATTTTGGGTTACATACAAATGAAACCGCAGATGTTGCGAGTGTGGTGATATTAATTTTTGTTTTGTCTTCATTAACCGGAAAAATAAATTTTCCATTAATGGTGAAAAGGTAAGAAATATATGATAATAAGTATAATATTATAGTCATTTCAAATTACTGCAAGAATGTTTCATTATTATTCAAATAATAATAACAAAAAGCTATCTATACTATAATTATAGTGAGGTATAGATATTAATAATACAAAATATTAAATAAATTTTAGAATCACCTATTTACTATAATTACTACAATTTAATAAAAAAAGGGTAGCTGTAATTTTTTTTTTTTTTTTTTGTGTGTGTGTGTGTGTTTGTGTTTAACGTTTTATTGCATATTTTTTAATAATGAAAAAACAGTGACATATTTTTGTTAAAAATGGAAAGTAAACTCCTTAAAAAGACTGATTTATTAATATATCAACTATATTTAATGTTAAAAATCTCTGTATATTAAAATTTCAGATGAAACTTTCTTTTGACTTAGGATTTATGTTTTTCTAGGTATGGAATGCTGGTCTGAGGGTTCTCTATGCTATAGGACAATGGCCAGGCAATACTCATGATGCATTTATATGGAGTGGACTGAAACAAAATCTAGATAGTATTTTGTCGCATCGTGCATATCTTTGGGAGATAGTGGATTATATTCCCATTTTATCACGGGAATATCTCTATAATGAGAAGCACAGAAAAGTTCGTGCAGCTATAGAGATCAAATCAAGATTTAGTACTGCAGATACTGGTCACTGCAGCTATAGTCATAGATCAAATCACAGATTTAGGGTAATGCACAATGATACTGATATGTGGAACACTATTGTATTCAAAAACAAAATATGTCAAAATGGTGCATATAAATATCATATTGGTGTTAATATATAATTATGTATTGTGTTGTGTGATGATGTGTTGATTGATGTTTTGAGTTGATGAGTTGTGTAGTTCATTCAGTTTTTGTCAATTGCATTGAAAAAATGAATTGCACAATGAATTATTTTAAATTTTGAAACTCGATAATAAAAAAACCCAAAGTGGGCAACAATGAACCTCTGGCAAAGGTGAAACCCCCTTCATGGATAATAAAGAATATATTATGAAAAAAAAATTACTTTCATAATATATTCTTGGGGACCCACAAGCCATGGTTTATATTTAAACCTGTAACTAAATGCACAACCCTAAATGATTTTAATTGATAATAATAATCCTAAATAATTTTATTAGTCCTGGTTTCAAATGCATACTGACAACTTTTATCATTATTGTTCTTCCCTCTGAATTTCTTGTTTCCATCATTTATGTTTAAAAACTCTTGACTACCAGAAATAACTTAATAGGCTTGATATATATATATTTTAGTGTTGGTATGCCAGTCATGATTTACAATAGTAAGTCACTATAAATTAGCATTGCACTTAATTTATCTTAAACTTAGCAATAAGATTTACTGCACCGAAATTCAGTTTCTTCCAAAAAGTCAAATGTTTCCCTTTCGTCCCCTTCCGTGGGACAAGATAGAAAATTTCCATGTGACAATACACATTTAATAGCATAAGAACTTCATGCTTATTTATTATAGTATAAATTAAAACTGACATATTCTGTCAAAGATATTTAAATGTATTTCCTAAAAACAATTATTTCACTCTATACTGTTTATGTCTTCTTGGGGGTGGGCAAAACAAATATTGGACAGTTCAATTTTCCTCCACCATTCCTGTGAGCGTATTCTTCGATTAAGCAGGGTTTTGCTCCAATTCCTGATTAGCATAATATGTAAAGAATAAACAGCCTATGATTTATGCCTCCATATCCTCTTGTATTATTTAAAGAACATACATTTTTCTTTTAATTCTAGATTTTAAAACATTAAAGTAAGGGAAAGATTGTTTGCTGAATTTAGATTTATATCATCATTACGCATTCACTATAATAACTTACTGCATACTTACCTCAGTGGGTTTGCCATTAAAAGAAATACATTTAAGTAAAATCATGAGTGTATAATAAATTGTTTTTCAGCCAAAAAAAAGAGAAGGGGGAAAATAAATACAGTTTGATTCACTTAATTTTTAGTACGCGACTCAACATTGTTATTGTAAACTAGACATTAGCCATACTTTAATAGTTGTCATCATCTCTGTATTTTTAGAACTTCGAAATTAGAATGTCAATTTTATCTGCCATTGTTATGGAGCTGTAGGATATCGAATGTTATTTCTTCAATGATAAAAAGAAATGAAATTTTTAATACCACATCTCATTCATATAACTTATTAACATAATTGAAAAACAAAAAACAATTTAATTCATTTCGTGTTATATCTGAAAATTAAAATTTGTAATACATTGACTAAAGATTCTTACAGGTCTTATTCCCATTTTCCTCCAGGAAAAAGATAATTGCTGTGTAAAATGCATAAATATTTTCACGAGACTTATAATAGTGGTATTAGAATTATTATAATGTTTATGTCATATAATGGATCTGTGAATTTCTTTTAAATAATTTTTATAATCACAAAATTTTATAAAATTAAGAAAGTAGTAAATTTTACAATTAAAATATGAATCCCACACTGCAGAAATACATACAAGAATGAAAACACTGTAATATTTGAAATGCATGATTTATTTTTTTAATAAATTAATAATTATATTTTGATTTTCTATGACAGCAGACTGATTTGCAACTGATTGCTTATACAAGTCACATATTTCACACAGTACATTAATATATTCTTCTGCGTTTCAATTATTTCCTTTTCTGCAGCTGTAATATCATCTCTCTTCCTTTTTTCTCTTCGGTCTCCTGCTTCGAATAGTTGAGCTTCTATCTGAGGGAAAATTTTAAAATATTCATTCAAATTCAAATATTCTTAATTTTTATATTTCATAATGTAAAACACTTTTTATAATTAATTAAACAATGAAACTTCTCTAAAAAGGAACAATTCATAATATTGATTTCTTTAACTTTCAATTTTTTTCCCTTTATAATTTTTAAGACTGTTTATAGATCAAGAGGATTTAATGATTATTATTTTAAATTCTTAAAATCTTGTTGTTAATAAAAGACATACTCTGTATATAATGTTCGCAATAAAGAATTGAAATAACTCTTTTGTATGAGAAATATTAATTTACATCTGTTATAATTAATTTATACCAGCGGTTCTCAGCCGGTGGTATGCAAAGAAACAAAATATTTTTAACTATGAAATTCAAAAATCTCATAAAGAAAAGAATAGTTAATAGAAATTTCCTTTGATCGAAATTGACTTGAAGATTTGGAAAATGACACACTTGTTAACTTTTGGCTGAACCGAAAAAAAGAATTTAAAGGCATTTCAAATAAAGCTATCAAATTTGTATTGTCTTTTCGCACAACCTGTTTGTGTGAAAAATGATTTTTTCCATGTTAAATTTGAAATATAAATACTCACCAAAATAAAAAGTGGATCCTAATTTACCATTAAATGAAATAAGAGCAGACATAAAGAAATTAAATATTAAAGTATTATAACTGAAATTTTGATAATCAAGTGAATAATTAATTTAATTAAATTTAATTTTGATAATTAAGTAATCATCAGTTTTTAATCTAATAGTTTTTATGTGTACATATTTAATACAAAGAGTGTGCAAATGGCAATATATATATATATATATATATGTTTTTAATATTTCTATTGAGGAATTGAAAAATAATCATTGTAAAATTAGTGGTAGTATTAATGTTTTTCAGTTTTTGCTTAGATGGTACACTACAGTCAAAAGGTTGAAAACCGCTGATTTATACCATTAAAGTTTTTCTGTTGGGAGGAAAAGGAAAAGAAGAATCCAGAAAACATTAGATTTTATGTAATAGATACAAACTTGTCATTCCTAAATGCCATTGCAGATTTCCTCGTGATAAAGGTGTGGAATTTTCTAATGTAAAAAAGAAAAAAGCATAAAATAAGCACAATTTACTCAACAATCTTGACTGAAATATACATGCTTTCAGAGATAGCATAAAGCAAGAAAAGTTTACTCAACAATCTTGATTGAAATATACATGCTTTCAGAAATAATATACAAAGCATACTGCATAATCAAAGTTATGAGTTTATATACTATGAGATACTATACATGTTTATAATATACCACGTTCCTGTACACCTAACACCTCGTCCACAATTTTCTATACAATTCATTAAAGATAGTTCCTGAAACATAACTGACTTAAGAGAAACATGCATACTTCTAATTTATGCACAATAATTTGACAAACATTGATTTCAGGTAAAGAGCTACATGTATTATATCAAAGAAAGAATGAATAAGTGTAATTTGCCTTTATCCTACAAATACTTAAAAACATTTACATTAAAAAAATGAATTATACATAATGGTAGCAAATTTTTAATGAAAAACAAAACAAGAGTTGAAAACTTAATGCAGTTTTTGTCAATATTTTACTCTCTTAAAATTTATATAAATGTATAGAAACTTGAAATGCATACCGCATTTGGCTGGAAAACTTGTGGTATTGTACTGCACTCTAGGGAAAGGAGAAAAAGTATACAATGAAGCAATCATAAGAATAAAAGATATTTGCATATTATTGAAACCACCTTAATAAAAGTTACCAAATTTTCAAAAATGTGCCAAACTCTGGCAATGATTATGTATCAAAATTTTTCAGGTAACATGCTCATAACAATTTTTCATTCAAACAATGTCACCATTTTCATATGTGTTTCTTATGTTGTATTTCAAGTTCCAATGGATTTTAGATACGAATAGTTGTTTTAGATTAATTTCAGATTTAAAATACTGCTTGTGGAGCTTACCATCAAAAGACGAAGCTGTGTTAAAAGTTCTGCAGGAATAGAATAGAACATTTTAGTACAAAAATTTCTAATGGAAACAACTATGAGATGAATTTGGTACATAGACAAGGCATGCAGTATCAAGTTTATGTAATTCTCTGATTTTTTTTTTTTTTTTAAGTGAAAACAGATCACTTGGCACAAGTGCTAAAAAATTAGACAAAAAATTTGTGGAAAATGTATTTTTTTTTAAACTATCATATAATTTTTATTTAATAATTCAAATTAGTATTTTAAAATTTGTTAAATGTTTTTTCCTTTGATATGTTGATAACATTTTGCCAACTTAGATAAATATTGATAGTTTGGTTATGCTAAAAGCAAGCTGCAAAAACAACGTACTTCTCCTGATAAGTATTTTTCTCTTTTCATTTATAAAGACCACCAAACTGATCCAGGTGTTTGTGTTAATACGTAAGTACCAAAAAATATTGAAGAATGCACAATGAAAGATGGCAACCAGTATGGTAAAAGATATAATTAATATATGCAATGAAAGAAATCTTATTAAAAGACGACTTTCATTATCAGCAGAGAAGCATGACACAGTTACAGTAAAGAAATTAAGCTTTTGTTTCTGCACTTGTAGCTTTTAATAGCCAAAAAATTTTTTTTTGAAATTTTATGAAATAAATAAATCTGAACATAACTGATATCAAATGAGAATGGGTCCAAACTTTCACTTAGCAGAAAGTAGAAGCAGAAAGTGTACTGTAAATGCACAATATAATGAGCAGAACACAAAGCATAATTCATAAATTAACCTTTACTCTGGATGTATATATTACATTAATATCACATTAGAATTATCAGGGTTTCATATAATTTTTTATTTATTGTATTACATTGAAATACCTTTAATTTCATTTTTATATTTTCCCAACGATGTACAATATAAATCTAAAAATTGCTCTTAACTGTTTCATCACATAATGAATGTCTAAGGGAAGGAAGGAATGCCTGCGTGGATGGAAGACTAAGGAAAACTTAGTATTCATGTTATACATTGAAAAAATGAAGAAAACACTCATGCAGCCAGCTTTTTCACCTGGATTTAAAGAGAGACTGGGATAGCGGTGTTCAGCAGGCTTATCTGCTTGTAGATAGATGGGCTTATTAATTACTATATAATTCAAGAACTAGTTAATTTTCATATGGTAAACATGCCTACTGTCACTGAAGAATCATGCATCTGCATTAAACAATAAAAATATAACACAAATTTGAATTTTAAATTAAACTTACTATTAGAAGAATTAAAACCAAATGCTGTAATTTGAAAATGGGAAAAAAATGTGGTTTATATTTGAAAAAGCAAGGATTTTTGTCTGAAAAGTAAAATATATTTTACACACACCTGTTGCTCTAGATTACTTTGGAGGGAATTTTCTATAGGATAAAGTAAATAAAGTTGTACACATTAAATACATGTTGTACACATTAAAAGAAATATATTTCTTTCGTTTTCAGGACTGGAACAATTCGTTACACCACACTACAACGCAGTAAACACTTGACCATAAGCTCAGAGAAATCATGGGAACTGATGTTTTTTGTTTACATCGACACGCAGTCTCATTGGATATTGATGTAGTTTATCGGACAAGCTCTCCTGGCACGAGAGCAAACCAGCTCCCCATTGCAATTTTGACGTCATCAGTTACCAGAGCGGTAAAGCGTTGCACTTGAATTCGACTTTAGCAGACGATAGCAGGAACGCCTCTTGCGAGCTACATTTGCAATTTCAGAGCGTTGCTTGGGTTGAACATGCCTACTAGTCACATGAAGAGAATCATGCATCTGATTGAACAATAAAAATATACCACAAATTTGAATTTTAAACTAAACTTACTATTAGAAGAATAAAAACCAAATGCTGTAATTTGAAAATGGGAAAAATTGTGGTTTATATTTAAAAAAGCAGGTATTTTTGTCTGAAAAGTAAAATATATTTTACACACACCTGTTGCTCTAGAGGGAATCTATAAAGTAAATAAAGTTGTACACATTACATTACATGTCTGTATATTTCCTTCATTTTCAGGACTGAAACACTTCGTTACACCACACTACAACGCAGTAAACACTTCACCATAAGCTCAGAAGAATCATGGGAACTGATGTTTTTTTGTTTACATCGACACGCAGTCTCATTGGATATTGATGTAGTTTATCGTTCAAGCTCTCCTGGCACGAGAGCAAACGAGCTCCCCATTGCAATTTTGACGTCATCAGTTACCAGAGCGGTAAAGCGTTGCAGTTGAATTCGACTTTAGCAGCCGATAGCAGGAACGCCTCTTGCGAGCTAACATTTGCAATTTATCAGAGCGTTGCACTTGAATTCACCCCTTAGTATGTTATTAAACATTTCTCAACTCAACTCTGTAGTGGCAAATTCGTCGGCTGCTTTGTATTTGAAATATAGTGTGAATGGCTTGTAGTGATCTTACTTTATATAAGAGGTAGTAATAATGGGTAGTTTATCCGTGTATAGAATGCTTCGCTCTTTATACATTACAAAAGACATCAATAACAGGTAATGTACTTAATGACTGTTTCCGAAATTTATTCGGTTTTAAGAACAGATCCTGTTTCAGATTAATTACGATATTGGTAATTTTTATTTTTCAGGATCCTGATCTCCAGCTTAAGATGCCTGTATAATTTTCAAACCTGCTTTCAATCAACTCCTCTTTTACCCGAAAGAAAAATAAACCATCAAGTCATTTTGGATTTAAAAAATACTGAAAAGATTTGGCGAAAATATAAGAATGAAGAAATTCTTCAAAAATTCCTTATCGAATGTTTTGAGAAAAATGAAAATTCATTAGCTTATGCTACTGATCTAATATATCTTGCATCTGAACGCATACCTTCACCTTTTGAATTTATATATAGCATAGTTGTGGCATTTTTTACATATATTCAAAGGTCTGGTGTTCCATTTTCACCTTCATTAATTGAAAAGACAGATGCACTGAGGGCTGTTATTAATCTAAAAAGTTATCATTTAACACAGTTAGTTTGTAAAGTATTCAAAATTAACGAGAGCGCACAATGTTTTAAAGATTTTATTGACAAACTCTTTCAAGATCAAAAGATTATCGAGGTAATGTTCTTTTTTTCTTTCTTACATATATGCAATATATATACAGAGCGTTTTGAAATTCTGTATTTAGTGTAACATTATTTATCCACTGTTTTCGTTTTAGGCTGCTTATTGTATTCGAGCCTTAAATTTGCAGCAAGAATACTCGATCGAAAAGGTAAGTGCATTGAAGATAAATTTATAAGAGCTTACTAAAAATGTCATTACCTAAAACTACATTCCTTTTCATAAAAGTAAATATTATTTTTTGATCTTATTAATTTCATGTCATAAATATATACAAAGGCAAGCGTCGGTAACCTTTTCTTAGCTGCAGGTCAAAATAACCAAAATGTGTGTATTAAGGAGATGTTGTGGGTCAGTGACATTTTCATTTTTGAAGTCCTTGGTTAATAATGCAATAAATTATATTTAGAAAATATTTAAAATACACCTTAAATTTTGGTGTGCGGCTAAAAAAGGGAAACAGAAAGAATGTTCCCGGAAAATAAAGAACAGAAAAAAAGGAACTCTAAAATATCGCCAATCTGAGTTTGGGAAAACAGCCAAATTCTCATTTAACCAGGAGGGTTATAGAGGGCTGTCTTGCGGAAGTGTTAAGTGTAAGACGCTGAGCTAGCTACACCTTAGCAAGTCACTTAGAAAAGAGGCTTTTTTTTTAAGATGCCTCTGGGAAGATCTCATTTCTCCCACTTCTTTCACACTTTGTTTCGCACCGTTCTGGAAAGAGATCCAGTTTCAGGTTAGGTCCCCCGGAAGAAAAGAATCAATGGGGAAACAGTTTTTCTGCTCTAACGTATTAATGATTACCATGTGTGGAACTAAATGATTTCATCTGCCCCAGACTGAAAACTAACAGTTTATTCGCAACTTAATTTAGTCCTTTATTTATGTTGCCGTTAAAGGCCTGGAATTTGCTGTTTCATAAAATAACTATATGTCATGAATTACCTTAATGAATCAGTTAAAGTATATAAAATTATTGGATTCTGTGATATGACTAGTTATTTTATAGAATAACAATGGCCTAATTGTTATAAAGTATTAGTAAATACCTTCGTTATTGTATTAGAAAATGCCTGATCATTAGCAAAGATGGCATGCGTAAGCTGCTTTATTGAAAGCAGGACTAAGTAGCCTAATTATTTTTATAAGTTGTAAAAATATAAATATAAGTATTGGTGCAGTATAGTTTGTTATTTTTTATTGCTGTTTAATTAATATAGCAACAATATTTATTATTAGTTCAAAGGAGCTTTGTCTCCAAGGGATTATTGTTTTCATTTTGCGATTTTGCGTCAAATTGCTCTGAATGTCCGTTTCACTTTTTAAACTGTTGTCACCAAATATTATCGTCCTTTATTATATTTAAAGAAATTAAATAATGAAAAATCTGCATAAATATACGTATGTTCCTCCCAAACGACACCTAGAGCTATCAAATTTTGAATAACGTAATCCTCTGCCAAATATGGGCATCTGGAAGCTCTAA